CATCTGATGCGATAAGCATCGCCAACGCAGATTGGACCAAAGATTTTGCGGAGAATCTTTCTCTCGAACACTCCAAGAGCAGCTGCATCGGATTGCACCACTGTCCAGCACTCCGCACCATATAAGAGTACTGGAAGAATGAGCGTCCTGTAGAGTGTTATTTTTGTCGGTCGAGAGAGAGCTCTACTGTTAAAGTGCCTACTGAGCCCAAAGTAGCACCTGTTGGCAAGTGTGATTCTCCGCTTAATCTCCAGGCTGACATCATTTGTGCCACTTATTGCAGATCCAAGGTAAATGAATTCCTTCACGAACTCAAAGCTATGGCTTCCTGCAGATAGCTGGGAATCAAGACGCCGCGATTCCCTGCTAGAGCACACCATAAACTTTGTCTTATCCATGTTAACTGCCAGTCCTACTTTAGCTGACTCTTTTTCAATAGCCCCGAAGGCTGCTGTAACATCACGCTTGGTTCGGCCAATGATATCAATATCATCAGCGTAGCCAAGGAGTTGGACACATCTGTTTGTTAGAATAGTGCCCGTCCGATGCACTCCAGCCTTCCTTATAATACTCTCCATTAGAATGTTGAAGAGCATACAAGACAGCGAGTCGCCTTGTCTGAGACCACACTTGGTATAAAAGGTTTCGGATTGGTCATTTCCTACCCTGACAGAGCTGATGGTGTTGCTCATGTCATCATGCAAAGCCGTATTAGCTTTGCTGGTATACCAAGCTCAGACATGGCGGCATACAGGCGATCTCGCCGGGGACTATCGAATGCAGCCTTGTAATCGACGAAGAGGTGATATGTGTCGATCTGATTTTCGTAGGACTTCTCCAGGATTTGGCGCAAGGTGAAAATCTGGTCCATAGTGGATTTGCCAGGCCTGAACCCGCACTGATAAGGTCCAATCAGTGCTTCAGCATGGGTTTCAGGTTTTCACATAGTACGCTCGTAAGGACCTTGTATGCGACTGGAAGAAGACTAATGCCACGGTAATTGGTGCGCAATGTGGCATCACCCTTCTTCAGGATAGGACAGATCATGCTGTGGTTCCAATCGTCGGGCATGCTCTCCGTTAGCCATATCTTGCTGATTAGTTGGTGCATGCTCCCTACCAACATATCACCAGCAGCCTTAAACAATTCAGCCGGCAGGCCGTCAGCACCTGCGGATTTATTGTTTTAAGTCGTTGGATTGCAACCTTGACTTCGGCATGGCTTGGGGTCGGTACGTCCACATCAGTACCATAGATTGGGGTTTGTGGATCATACTCTCCATAGTCATCATAGCCAGAGCCAGCTAATAGACTTGAGAAGTGCTCCCTCCATAACCTCAGCACAATCTCTGCATCAGTGACTAGGTTTCCGTCATCGTCCTTGCACGCAACTCCTCCAGTCTTAAAACCTTGGGTCAGACGCTTAACCCTCTGGTAGAAGTTACGAGCTTCATTCCGGCATCTGCTGCTCTCAATGCTCTCACACTCACGCCTCTCCTGTTCTCTCTTCTTGCGTCTGAAGAGGCGTTTCTCATCTCTCCTCCTTGACCTGTAGACCTCGACAACAGCCCTTGTGGCCCCAGCTTGCAGTGTTCTTCTGTAGGCGGCGTCTTTTGCAGCTGTTGCGTCGCGACACTCCTGGTCGTACCATGGATTCCTCGTTGGGGCACGTTGGAATCCGATGACCTCTTCTGCAGAAGTTCGCAGGGAGTGGGATATGAGTGCCCACATATTGCTGATGTCTTCAGGTGTTGGAGTTGCTCGGCTCAGCAGGCCTGAGACTTGAGTGGAGAATGCATCCCTTGTCCGTTGTGATTGCAGCTTCCCGATGTCCAGCTTTCTCAACAGTCCTCGACGTGCAACCTTCGCAACACATAGCCGTGTGCGAATCTTAGCTGCAACAAGATAATGGTCGGAGTCGATGTTGGGACCCCGACAGGATCGCACGTCGAGTACGTTAGATGCATGCCTTGCATCGATCACAACATGATCGATCTGATTTCTGGTCAGTCGATCAGGAGAGAGCCATGATGCCTTGTGTATGTCCAAATGACGAAACCCAGTACTACGAACTACCATATTATGCGCTGCAGCAAAGCCTATTAATCTAAGACCATTGCTCGAGGTGGTCTCGTGTAGACTAAATTGCCCGACGGTGGCACCAAAGATGTCTTCTCGCCCTACCTTGGCATTAAATCCCCAAGGAGGATCTTAATGTCATGGGAAGGACAGCGGCCATAAGCCCGGTCGAGCTCCGCATAGAAAGCATCCTTGGTGACATCGTCCTTTTCTTCGGTTGGGGCATGCGCGCATATCAGGCTGATGTTGAAGAATTTGGCAGTAATTCGGATCGTTGCAAGTCTCTCGTTTATTGGCAGAAAGTGAGAGACCCGGCGCCGCAGTCTGGCGCCTACAACGAAGCCACAGCCAAATTCATGCCGTTCTGGATGGCAGCTGTAGTAAATGTCGCAGTTCTTCTTCTTAAGGCAACCTTGTCCTATCCATCGCATTTCCTGGATAGCAGTGATGTCAGCCCTACATTTATTGAGGGTATCTGCTAGTTGTTGAGCAGCACCTGGTCTGTACAATGTGCGTACATTCCAAGTGCATACTCTCAAATCATTGTCCTTTTTACGTGTGCCATGGTCGTCAACTTTAGATCGGTTCCGTTCCGAGGCTTCATCTGCTTCCTTCACTGAAGATTTGTTTTCCGTGGGTGGATTTCAAGTCCTACGCCACAACCTAGTTTGAAGAGCTAGGACTCTCGTCGCGCGCTTTAGTTTGTCAAACAACGGGTGTTGAGTGACAATCCAGGGAGAACCACGTGGAGGTAGTGCGTCGGCTTGGGGAGAGCAGTGATAAGGATCATGCTGGCATTCACCAAGTTGAATGCAATCAGACACTTTACCTTATATACCCCCCCATGGGCATTTATTAGGAATTATTTTTAAATACCATTAGTTAACGCATAAATATAAACAAAAAACTGAAAATACTGACATTTTTTTCATGTCGCAGCTTATTTCGTCCAAGAACTTAAAGTACACTAAATTTGTAATTCTTAAATAACTTATTCTTGCAACCCATTGGAGAAGATATTAGCTTAAATATGTCTCACTTTGTGGTGTTTGGTTACACTGAAATAAGCCATTGTATATGTATATATAATTACTTATATAATATATGTCAAACTTCAAATATAACGCCCCCTTGTAAAAGTTAATCTTATTTAATTTATACAATAAAATTTTAAAATTAATTTTCCTTTAAATGTTACATCCTTGAAGAGTATTATTATTTCAGTCAGAAGCTTGCAACGCTATGAAGGAGTCATAATAAATAAATATAATAATATTAATAATAATAAACAAATAATTATTAGGTATTGAGGAAAATGTAAATCTGTGAATGTAAAACTGTAAATATAATATGTATGTATAGGTGAATGAAATGAAAGCAGGTTTTACTTTTTTGCTTTTAAACATAAATTTATATAATTTAAATTGTATTAATGCAAAGTGATCAAATTTCAGGGGTAAAGGAGAAATTGGACAATCATTTTTGATGTAAATATTTAAAAATTCAAAACTAACGTTATTACTAAACTTTGACATAAAAATGTAAAAATTAATAATTATTCTACAAATTTTGTCTTCCAATTTAATAACAAGTTTTTGATTCCAAATTTAAAGAAGTATTAAAGCAAATATCGGCGCAGAATTCAATCAAATCATTAATAATTAATACTATTTAAATTATATAAATTAATTTTAATATAAAAAAGTAATGACTACTTTTGTTACGTTGCGTTACGTTCACCTATAATACATACAATATTGTTTTAAAGGCCCATAGTTTTACAGCAGTACCATTCATTCAAGGCGGTGTTGTTGATGAATAATCGTTGAATGTCCATACAAATTACTGATGACAACAATTCCACAAGAATTAATCAATGAATCACCAGGAATTTATCGGCAATTGATGATTCATCAAAAATTACTCAACAATTAATCAATGATTCCTCACAAATTCTTCAACATATAAGGTCGAAAATAATTTTGTTTGCCTCTATTTATTGCACTTAAAATATATAATTCTCTGTTAATTGTATAATATAGGTCGTAATTATACCCTTGCAGGGTATTATAATTTGAGTCAAAAGTTAGCAAGGCAGTGAAGGAGGCACCTTCGACTATATAAAGTATATATATTCTTGATCAGGATCAACAGCAGAGTCGATCTAGCCACGCCCGTCTGTCCGTCTGTCCGTTTCTACGCAAACTAGTCTCTCAGTTTTGAAGCTATCTGAATGAAACTTTGTAGTTAGCCTTCTATATACTCTCACTCGTATATATGTATGTCGGAAAGGGGCCAGATCGGACGACTATGGGAATTATAGGAGAAAATGTGAAGTTTGGAAAAAAAATAAATGTTAATTTTATTGAGTAGAATTTAAAAAAATCAATTTAATTATTAATAAACATGAGCATTGACTTCTTTGTTTAGTTACTCTTACTTGAAGTTCTGTAAACAAAATTATTTGAAGCTCAGCTCATCAGTAATTAGAAATTTTAACATTTAAAAGTTGTTTCCGCTGTGAAGATTATTTTTACCGCTGCGCTGAAATGTATGCTTCAACTTCCGTCAGTGACACGAGGGCAAGTCGAACTTCAATTATAATTTCATTATAATGCAATTCACCTTTTTGTTCATCGAGTAGCTGACTTGTGTTGGCATCGCGACTTTATTTCTCTTTACGTTTTAGGCAAGGAAAACTTCGTCTTCTTAAAGAATGGTATTTTCCTTTTTATACCCTTGCAGGGTATTATAATACCTTTTATGTATATATATTCTTGATCGGCATCAACAGCCGAAGCAATCTGATTGAAACTTTGTAGTTTGTCTTGTGAGGGATTTTTCGTTTTGCAAAGAATTACTTCAAAAAATGTACTTAATGGACATTTTATTTTATTATTTATTATATCATAAATATTTATTTTATTTTAGCCCCTCTTCCTCCTCCACCGGCTGCTGCAGCTCTTCATCGGCCGGTATCTTCTGCGATGGAGGCTCCTGTTCCGGCAAAGGGCGGAGCACCTGCATTATGCCGAGCCGAACACGGCGTTGGTCGTCTCTTGAGTAGCTTTGGGATATTCTAAAGGCATATGCCTGGCGTTGTTGCCTGTTAAGGCCACCGCGTCCAGGGACTCCACCGCCTCCACCTCGTTGACCGTCGCCGCCTCCACCTCGTCGAATGTCGCCGCCTCCACCTCGTCGACCGCCGCCGCCTCCACCTCGTCGACCGCCAGCGCCACCACCGCCAGTCTGATTTCCGCCGAAAAAATAGAAATTCATTTTCTAAAAAAGAAAACAAATTAAAATAATTTAACTACATTTTATAAAATATATTGTGCGTTTACTTTAGAACGCGTGCTTGCTTTTTAAAAAATTGGATTTACCGGAATTTAGTTCCCGACTTATTCATCGATAGGGCGTGGAAAGCGGCCCTATCGATATATCGAAATATATCATTTATATATTATATACAATATATAATATATACAATACTGAAATGCTTGGAATGTCAATTCCATTCATGTGGCATGCATATTTTATACAATTCTTAAATGGTTAATAGGAATATTTTCTGGCGGGCTATTCATCGATAGGGCGTGGGAAGCGGCCCTATCGATATGAATGAGTTGGAAAAAGAAATCGCTGATTTTTCAAAATCTGAAGGATAGATCGAATTAAGATTTAATTTGAAATTAGAGAATATTTTTCCCTTTCTTTTGAGATACCGTGCCAGTTTGCACGCGTTCATTTAAGGGAGTTACATTTTTTTAAAAGTTAGCGTCGGAATGTGGTATGGGGCATGCCACATGGCGTTAGGGTCATTACGAAACCAGTGTTTGTGAATGAGGTCCGAAAGAGAAACACTTGAATTTCTCAAAATCTGACGGTTAGATCGAATTAAGATTTAATTCGAAATTAGAGAATATGTTTCCCTTTCTTTTGAGATACCGTGCAAGTTTGCACGCGTTCATTTAAGAGATGTTACGGAACTGCTTTCTTGGGCAACGCCGGGCTAGCTCAGGAGGCCCAGGGCTGGGTTCGACCCAATGCCCGCAGTCCGCACAATAAAATATCGGACAATTCGGACTCTCGTCACTGACAAAACTACCATCCCTAAACACAAAACAAAAGTAAACAAACGACAAATATACACTGACGACACTGCCGGAACAAATTGGTGGCATTGGTGTTATCGCCACAACGCACCCACCCATCCTGTGATGCCTCCTGAGTGTCTCGGGGCATCACCCATCTCCGGCGGACCGGAGCCTATTCCAGGCGGTCTGGCGACCGGCCCATCTCCCCCCAGGTATTTACTCTACTCCATTTTTATTTTCATTATTTATTCTATATAAACATTCCTTGTAATATTAATATCTCCCTTTTATAGGTGGTATTTCTCCACTCCCGGCGAGAGCGTGGCCCTAGCCAGGGATGCGCTTGCGCTAAGGCTGCGCTGTTGGGGGACTTAAAAACTAGCGGAGGAGAAGCGCCTTAAACATTTGGCCTCAAACGGCCACAAAACAATTATTCCCTCTTTGGAGTCCCTAATCCCTGCTGGAGCTCCAATAGAAATATAGGGTACAGGGGTTCACGACAAAAAAACAAAATATACTCAAGAAAAGACAAGGACCGGCCTTCTTCCCCGTTCCCCCTTTGGTCACAGCTCCTGTGTTGCACCAATCCCGGACCCGGGATACGGCCAAGCGGAGAACAAAGATAACCTTACAAACAAAAGACACAAAATACGAAATACCCTATCCTAACCGGATTAGCCCTTGGCGGCTTCGGCGTCGGAGCGTGCGGCGCTTCGTCCTTCTGCGGCGGCGACTCCGGCTCTGGGCTCTCAGTTCGGCCGGCGCTGAAGTGGCGGCACGGGCGGTGCTAAGGCGGCGGCGCTGCGGCTCTGGGCTCTCAGCTCGGACGGCGCTGAAGTGGCGGCACGGGCGGTGCCGAGTCGGTGGCACTCGCGACGCTACGGTGGCTCTGGGCTCTGGGTGGGATCGCGTGCCCTCCTGATGGTTCTGGCGGGGCACTAAGCGGCGCGGACGGTGCCGAGTCGGTGGCACTCGCGACACTACGGTGGCTCTGGGCTCTGGCGGCGGCACTAAGCGGCGCGGAGGCGGTGTCCACGGGCCGGTACGCGGCGGAACAGGGCGGTGCTGAGGCGGTGGCACTGACGATCCAAGCGCGCACTCTCAGGCAGTCCACGGGTCAATTTCTTTCTCTCCAAAAACCTCGCGCACGTTTTCTTTCCAATTCCTGACTCCTCGTTTTTTCCCTCCTGCACCTCCTTTTATTGCCTCCGTTCCTTTTCCGTGTTCCACAGCTCCACGCCGTTACTTTTGCATTTCCTTCTTGCCCTTCCGAGAGAAAGGTTAAGAAACCTTTCTCTTAAGCCGCATTCAAAGTTCCCGGTTCGCTCAGCTTCCTCCTCCCCCCCTGGGTCCACCGATCCTGCCTCTCACTATCGATACATCGATAGCCTCTTCCCCTCCGAACTCCGAAATGCAACACCACCCAAGGATTTGGAGAGGTGCTACAAGGAGCCGGCTCGACAAGATCATTGGGAGCATTTGAATGGCATCTCCAGCGCAGTTCCGAACGGTGCCCAACGCGGGGCCCACGTCCTACGGGAAGTACCTCTACCTTTTTGGTCTTGCCCATGTGTACTTTTGCTCCCTCTTCCAGGTCATACGCGGATATCCTTGGCGTGATACACGCCCAAACTCCTGCCGTCCCGGTCCTCCAGTTCGTACGCGTTTCCGCCTATTGCCTTCACCACCCTGGCCTTCAGGAACTTCTTGGCGAACTTGGCATTAAACTGTTTCCCGAAGTCGCTGAGGACGAAGTTTCGGCGATATACCTCCTGACCTGGCCTTGCTGCAAACACTCTGGTTCTCTGATCGTAACGTCGACGACTGCGAACGTATGCGGATTCCAGACACTTTCGCACCTTCTCCTGTACCACTCGGAGCTTGTCGGCAGCCGGCATGCCTGCCAACTCGTGGTCACACAGCGACTGCAGCTTCCTGGCCAGTCGGTAGCTGGAACCATGCAGGAACATGTGGTGTCCGAAAAGTGTGAAAAACGGCGCTTCGCCCGTAGCCGAATGGACTGCGTTCCGGATGGCCACCTCGATCTCGGGAAGATAGGCATCCCAATCCCGATGGTCGTTCTCCAGGAACCCTCGGATAGCCGCCAGTACGCTCCGGTTCACCCGTTCCGCTGCGTTGCTCTGTGGAGAGTATATCGGAGTCTTCACGTGTCGGATCCCGAAGCTCTCCATGGACTCCTCGAAAACCCTCGACGTAAACTGTCGTCCATTGTCCGAGTGTACGATTTCTGGTACCCCGAACATGTAGAAGACCTCATTGATGAGGAAATCCACGACGTTCGAGGCTGTCGCTTCCCTCATGGCCTTCAGGAATGTGTACTTCGAAAAATGGTCCACCACGATAAAGACCCAGGCGTGTCCTTTCCTCGACCTCGGGTACTTGCCCAGGAAGTCGATGTACAACTTCTGGAATGGCCGCTCTGTCTGCACTCGCTCGCCGATCCCGACCATCATCCGGTGATTCGGTGCCTTCGATTCCTTACAGACCTGGCATCTTCGGACAAATTCCCGCACCTGCAGTACCATCCCAGGCCAGTAGAACTGCCGCCGAAGGATCTCCAGGGTCTTCCCCATTCCGCCGTGAGCAGCCTTTGGGTCTGAATGGGCTCGCTCAACCAGGCTGTGAGTCAGACTCTGCGGTATCCAGAGCTTCCATGTCGATCCGTCTACCTCGTCGTCCACAGTTGCTAGGGAGGTTCGCTTGAATATGAGTCCATCCTCAATCCTAAGATCCGGTAAGTTGTCCTTGTTTTCCAGAATCTCTCGGACTAACTCCTTATATTCATCTCCAGCAAACTCGGTGGTCTCAAAACCCAGCAACTTGGTCGGGTCCACTGTGATCTCGTCCACGCATCGCGAAAGCGTGTCTGCCACCACGTTCTCGCTGCCTTTCCGGTGTTCGATCTTAAAGTTGAAGCCCTGGAGCTGCAGAGACCACCTGGCCAGGCGTCCCGACAGATCCTTCATGGACATCAACCATTTTAGGCTGGCGTGATCGGTGATGCAGGTAAACGGCATGCCTTCTACATAGGGCCGGAACTTACGGATCGCCAGGAGAGCAGCAAGACACTCTTTCTCGGTGACGGTGTAATTCACCTGGTGCCTGTTCATTTTCGCCGAGAAGAAGGCAATCGGCTGCTCTTGGTCCTCCTCGTTCTTTTGGAACAGAACGGCCCCAACTCCGACGTGCGATGCGTCACACTGGATGTAGAAGTGTCGCTGGAAGTCCGCGTGCACCAGCACTGGTGCCGTGGTTAACGCCACCTTCAACGCTTCTACAGCCTGCCGCGCTTCCGGACTCAAAGAAAACTTGTTCCCAGTCTTCTTGAGGGATTCGGTTAGCGGCGCTGCCAGCGTCGCGAAGTTCCTGACGAAACGTCGATACCAGCCAGCGGTACCCAGGAACGCGCGCACCTCCTTCATCGACCTCGGCTCTGGCATCCTCCTGATTGCTGCCACTCGACCGGGATCCATGCTCAGACGACCTCCACCTACGACAAAACCTAAGTACGTCAAGGACTTGAAGCAGAATTTTGATTTTTTTAGGCCGATGGTTAATCCTGCTTCTTTTAGGCATTCAGCGACCCGTCGTAGGTACCGGAAGTGCGTCTTTATGTCCGGGGCCAGTACGAGCAGATCGTCCAGGTATACGAACACATTGGATCGGATCTCGGCTGGGATTACTCTGTCCATGAGTCTCACCAACCTCTGTGCCGCATTACAGAGACCGAACGGCATCACCCTGAACTGGTAGAGGGGCCGACCAGGCACCGTGAACGCCGTCAACTCCTTGCTTTTCTCGTCCAGTTCGATCTGCCAGAACGCGAATTTCAAATCCACACTGGAGATGAAGTGGGTTTGATCGATTCTGGACAGGATTCCATCGATACTAGGCAAGGGGTAAGCGTCCTTGACGGTCACGTCGTTCAGTTTCCTGGCGTCTAGGCAAAATCTATCCTTTCCAGGCTTCGACACGACTGTCGTCCGGTTGCTCCAAGGACTCTTGCTCTCCTCGATGACTCCCAGGGCTAGCATTTTGTCGACCTCGTCCTCAACCACCTTCTGCTTCGCCGGAGACATCGGATAGGGCCGGTCTTTAAAAACCTTCGCGCCTGCCACTAGCTCGATGGTGTGCTTTTCCAGTCCAGTGGTACCCAAGCCGTCCTTCTCGAAGGTGAGAAACACCTTCTTAATATCTTCGAGCTCCCGGGTCTCGGCTTCGGATAGTGTCCAGGATTCTGGGTCCGCCTTCTCCTCGTCGTCTTCCTCCTGGTCGACGTAATGTTCCATTTCCCTAGCGTGAATTTCCTCGGCCTTCACGCCCTGCACCGGGCAATTTCCCACTACAGCCGGGGCCAGTTCAAATGTTCGCCAAAATCGACGCCGAGGTATGCTGCCTGCTCCAGGTACGGGCACAAATAGAAGAGGATATACTCTACCCTTCCTTTGTATTTTACAGGTACCTTGATCCGACCGATGATCGACCGATCTTCGCCAGCAGCTGTTCGTACCACCGAGAAATACCTCTGCACGGGGACACCCAACGCGTCCACCAGCTGCCTGCTGCCTTTACCGAGCAGACTGACACTCGCTCCGGTGTCTAACAGCCCAGTCAGCTGCTGGCCTAAAATCGTTATTTGGGCGAAAGGCCTGGGATCGTGGGTGTCACCCCGCTTGACGGCCGCAACGACTTCTCTCCGCTTCTCCTGGCGTTTCTTAAAGCGATCTCGGGCCTTCAAGACAGTTCGGGATACCTTGCGCATACCGCTTATCTGGTGCTGCTCGAAAATCCGGTTTCTTACTTCTAAATACCGTCGCATGCGCTCTTCAGGGGGTAAATATCTTAACCTATCAGTATTATTACCCTTATTTAACATTTGTTTATTTTCGGGCTCTTTTATTTGGCGGTGTTCCTCGCTGGGCGTGATCCTCCGCCTTTGGATCGCGCAGCCATCCGTTTCCCGCACAATTCGGGCATTTCGGCGCAACAACGTCCGCTTTTCCACAGCGGAAACAAAAACCTTGGTCAGCTCCTTCTCGCAATCCCGGAAACCATGGTCCATGGCTCCACAATTCCAGCAGCCAGCCCGGAAAGGATTTCGAGGCCGTTCCCGGACTTCCTGCACTTGCAGTGGTTGCTCGTCTTCCTCCTCCTCCGGCTCTGAAGCAAACGCCTCGCTGACTCGGTTCCGTTCCGCTCCTTGGTAGCGCGTTGGTGGCAGGAATTGGGTCCGGCTTTTGCGTCCGAAACTACGCTCCACCTCAAGGCTCTCTTGCCTCAGCTCATCGACGGTGAGTAGCTCCATGGCATATACAAAGCGAGCAATTCCCTCTCTTAAACCCCTTTTCATCACCTTTACCAGGTGGCGCTCCGGCATTGGCTTCCTCAGGCGGGAAGCAAGGGTTTGCATCGCGTGCAGATAATCATCGACACTCTCCCCGGACTGCTGCTCCCGCTGCAAAAGTTGATGCATCCGTTGATGCTCCGTCTCATGGCTCTGGAACCTATCGATCAGCGCTCGGCGCAGCTGATGCCAACTGTCCAGTCGGTGCTGCTGCACGTGGATCCAAAACCACTCCAACGCCCTGCCCGTCAGCAACGTGTGGAAGTTACGCATCACTTCGGCCCACGAGCAACGAGATTGCCTCTGGAGATACTCCAAGCGGAACAGGAAGCCTTCGATGTGGTTCCGCTCGTCCTCACCGCTAAATGAGATGTTCCACCTATCCACCCTGGTGCCATGGGAACTGTCTCCCGCGTTCCAGTTGACATACATCCGTTCGTCACGGAAATCGCCAGCTCGGCGGTCCTCGACACGCCAGTTGCGACCAACGCAGTCATCTCTACGCATTTCCTCAGTCTCGGTGGAACCGTCTGGACTGTTGGAAAAGCTCTCGGCTGGATCGGGTGCCCTCCGGGGTGGCTTCGGTGGCACTCGTGGAGTCGGCCGCGTCTCTTGCCAGGCAGCCGTCTGCCCTTGCTTGGGTATAGCTCCGTGAGCGTCGTATACAGCTTCCCTCGATCGTCCAAATGGCGGTGGCTGCTGCTGTTGACGGTGTTGTGGTCCTGCCGTCATCGGTTGCTGCTGTTGGCGGTGTTGTGGTCCTGCCGTCATCGGTTGCTGCTGTTGACGGTGTTGTGGTCCTGCCGTCATCGGTTGCTGCTCCGCGCTCCCTCCTGGAACGTGTTGCGGCTTTGTGGAGGGTCTCAGTACCTCGTTCATTAATTGCATCATTTCCAGAAAACCGGCCCGCATCTCGTCCCGCAAGCTCTGGCTAATCCCAGCTTCTTGGGACTTGCGATACGTTTCTGCAGCCTGAGCCAGGGCAAGGTTCACCGCCGACTTGGCTGTGGAATCTACGGGCGGCTCCTGGGAATGTACCGAACGCTGAGCGGGATCCATCTCTACCAGGTGTTCAGCTGCTGCCCCGATCGCATCGAAGTCTAGCTGTTTTGGATGGACATGCTCCTCCGGTGGCCGCTCCTGTCGCCGAGATGGGGGTGTCCTCTGCAATCCCATTGAGGGCCGCGGCGGCGCGAACCCGACAGCACCCTCCCCATCCGTGGACCACAACTCCTCTTCCTGGGCTGAAGGACCCTTCGACCTGAGCTGATAATTGTTTCCCTTGTTCCCTTCCATAATCCAATTTCATTAATTCCTAACAGCTAACGGTTTGATTCTTACTAAATAAATATCTCAACGTAAATAAATCCGCAGGCAACAAATAAATAATTCAGTAGGAAATTAATTTAATAAATAAATAGACAATTAAATAAATAAATAAATAGACAATTAAATAAATAAATAAATTGACAATTAAATAAATAAATAAATAATAGAAATAATAACCAGTCGGTCAGAAAATTATTTCTGCAATATCCACAATTAATTATTAATATTTTCTTTAATTTCAGGGGAGATGGCCGATCAACCGCCGGTGGACTCCGCACCAGATACTTGCGTCTTCAATTGTCCCGTGTCGTCCCTAATCCGGCCATTCGTCAACTGGGCTAACTTTCAGCTGGGCTGAAAGTCGCCAGTTAAGGACATGGGCCTTCAGCAGTATCCCGTAGGATTTTCCTTGATGGCTGGGACTCCGAAGCTCTGATTGTGGTGGTCGTGCAGCGCGCAGTGAGATGCGGGTCACGACTTCACCAACAGGATGATACCAGGAAGCCCCTTCCACCAGGAAAACCCAAGGATCTGCACAAATTTACATTACATGGAAAACAAACATCTTTACGTTAAATTAAATAAACAACATTTATTACTTTCGCCTAAATTATCTCACAATTGTTCTAATCTCGTGCTTCATGCACGGATCTGTGGGCGAGGAATGCAAATCCGTCGTTTCCACGCCCGGGTGTCATCCCCTTGCCACAGCAGAACCCTTGCGAATGTCTACAGGAGCAATTACCCGTCCTTCTGCGGAGCAAACCTCCCGTCTTTCGGTGAAAGAAAACAAAAACAACACGTACGCCTGGGCCGCCAGTCCCCGTTCCTCGGTGCAATTGCAGGCCGTCAATATAGGCCATGCAAGCCACCGATTGCAGGGCTGGATGCCCCGGACGCGACCTTACGAGACATCGTCATTCCGCTAAACTCTTATTTGTTTTTTTGAATTTGGGCGCCATATTGTTACGGAACTGCTTTCTTGGGCAACGCCGGCTAGCTCAGGAGGCCCAGGGCTGGGTTCGACCCAATGCCCGCAGTCCGCACAATAAAATATCGGACAATTCGGACTCTCGTCACTGACAAAACTACCATCCCTAAACACAAACAAAAGTAAACAAACGACAAATATACACTGACGACACTGCCGGAACAAATTGGTGGCATTGGTGTTATCGCCACAACGCACCCACCCATCCTGTGATGCCTCCTGAGTGTCTCGGGGCATCACCCATCTCCGGCGGACCGGAGCCTATTCCAGGCGGTCTGGCGACCGGCCCATCTCCCCCCAGGTATTTACTCTACTCCATTTTTATTTTCATTATTTATTCTATATAAACATTCCTTGTAATATTAATATCTCCCTTTTATAGGTGGTATTTCTCCACTCCCGGCGAGAGCGTGGCCCTAGCCAGGGATGCGCTTGCGCCAAGGCTGCGCTGTTGGGGGACTTAAAAACTAGCGGAGGAGAAGCGCCTTAAACATTTGGCCTCAAACGGCCACAAAACAATTATTCCCTCTTTGGAGTCCCTAATCCCTGCTGGAGCTCCAATAGAAATATAGGGTACAGGGGTTCACGACAAAAAAACAAAATATACTCAAGAAAAGACAAGGACCGGCCTTCTTCCCCGTTCCCCCTTTGGTCACAGCTCCTGTGTTGCACCAATCCCGGACCCGGGATACGGCCAAGCGGAGAACAAAGATAACCTTACAAACAAAAGACACAAAATACGAAATACCCTATCCTAACCGGATTAGCCCTTGGCGGCTTCGGCGTCGGAGCGTGCGGCGCTTCGTCCTTCTGCGGCGGCGACTCCGGCTCTGGGCTCTCAGTTCGGCCGGCGCTGAAGTGGCGGCACGGGCGGTGCTAAGGCGGCGGCGCTGCGGCTCTGGGCTCTCAGCTCGGACGGCGCTGAAGTGGCGGCACGGGCGGTGCCGAGTCGGTGGCACTCGCGACGCTACGGTGGCTCTGGGCTCTGGGTGGGATCGCGTGCCCTCCTGATGGTTCTGGCGGGGCACTAAGCGGCGCGGACGGTGCCGAGTCGGTGGCACTCGCGACACTACGGTGGCTCTGGGCTCTGGCGGCGGCACTAAGCAACGCGGACGGTGCCGAGTCGGTGGCACTCGCGACACTACGGTGGCTCTGGGCTCTGGCGGCGGCACTAAGCGGCGCGGAGGCGGTGTCCACGGGCCGGTACGCGGCGGAACAGGGCGGTGCTGAGGCGGTGGCACTGACGATCCAAGCGCGCACTCTCAGGCAGTCCACGGGTCAATTTCTTTCTCTCCAAAAACCTCGCGCACGTTTTCTTTCCAATTCCTGACTCCTCGTTTTTTCCCTCCTGCACCTCCTTTTATTGCCTCCGTTCCTTTTCCGTGTTCCACAGCTCCACGCCGTTACTTTTGCATTTCCTTCTTGCCCTTCCGAGAGAAAGGTTAAGAAACCTTTCTCTTAAGCCGCATTCAAAGTTCCCGGTTCGCTCAGCTTCCTCCTCCCCCCCCTGGGTCCACCGATCCTGCCTCTCACTATCGATACATCGATAGCCTCTTCCCCTCCGAACTCCGAAATGCAACAGAGAGTAAGATTTTTGTAAAAGTTTGGGTCGATTTTGGTTGTCGGGGAGAGGCATAACATATCGCCGTGGTATATACTAAAATAATCTAAAAATAACAAAATAGACAAATTTTCCTTAATTTAGATGAAAATCACACTAAATTGTTTTGAATGACTCTTCTATTTATTGGGCAGTAACTTTTCTTAATATTTTATTTAACAAATTGCTAATTTCATTTAATTTAATATTTTTCTTATTTTTCTTTCTGGTTCAGCGAGTGGTTCTCTGCTGGTTCCATTTTCATAGTTCGCGCCTTGAATATCAGCCCAAATATTCCCTGTTATTCGATTGAGTTGAAATTTTCACCAAATATTCCTTAATCTTCCCTAGTAAGCCTATATACCGTGCATATGCGCACGCGTTCGTAAATCGAAGTTATATGCCTTACTATTTTTGATGCCTTATTTTGTAAGGAGCCGATCCCGAGGTTCGATCACTGTAATGCAATTTGCTCAAAAACTGACGGTTTAAAAAAAATTGAAACTTGGTACGGTAAAAGTACAATAAATGACCTTTATTTGGCGTATCGGGTTTTGCTGCACGCGTTCGAGTAGCCGAGATATTAAGAAATCCGTGAAAACACGATTTTTCACATGCTTTTTTTTAATATATCCAACTGTCAAATACTTTCAAACCCAGTAATAGTAAATTCATTTTTTACCATTTAGAAACTTTATGTTATTCAAATTAGTGGCCTTATTACGAAATAAATTAAAAATTAAAGGTCCCCTCTGTGTTCCATTTTCCCACCGTTACATTTCGAAGCTAATTTGACGGACATAAATATTATTTATCGACTGTCATTTCAGGGATTTATGAAAGCGAAATCTTTGGTCACACAAATGTTGTTCTTCTTCTTGACTTAAGTTGCGGTTTTGGTGTTGCCGTATTGGGTATAAAAACTACAAATTGCAGCAGCAGACATACAAAAAACACCTAATACAAATTTGTTATAACTGCTGTTTCAAAGATCTTTTGGAGGTGGAGCAGCAGGCAGCAGGCAAGTAAGTAAAGATCCAAACATGCTCTTTTACTCGCAACTTTCGCAACCATACAGACCGTACCCTGTAGCTAGCAAAAAGCTCAGTGAAAAACGAATTGCAGTTTTGATCTACTTTTACTTTGTTCACGTGTTTTTTAGTTAGAGGTCTAAGCTTTGAATTTAGAGAATCAGGCTTATTTAAAAGCTCTAGCAAGCTTTGTTGGTATTAGTGTATTATTATTGTCACTGTACACTGAATTTCTAAGTATATATCTAAAACAAGAAAGAAAGCTAACTTTGGCACGCCGAAGTTTATATACCCTTACAGATAGAACTTTGATGACTAGGAATCCATACAATATAAATTATATATATTTATTTTAAAAACAATGATGTAGTACCTCCTTTCATTTCATTCACCTATACATATTATATTTACAGTTTACATTCAGTTTTGCATTTTCCTTTATATCTATCGATCGTTTGTATGGCAGCCATACTCGCCCAATCAAAATTCTAGAAAAATTTGTTGAAAACTGAAAAAGACCGATGTTCTTACAATTTTACACAAAATTTTAGAATAATATAAAATGGCTATATCTTAAATCTGATACAATTCTGTTGAAAACTCCAAATGTTAGATTTATTTTTGTAAAAATTTTTCGATCGTTTCTTGGGCAGCTATATGATAGTATATCGTTCGATGCGGCCTCTTCCGACATACATACATACATATATACGAGTGAGAGTATATAGAAGGCTAACTACAAAGTTTCATTCAGATAGCTTCAAAACTGAGAGACTAGTTTGCGTAAAAACGGACAGACGGACATGGCTATATCGACTCGGCTGTTGATGCTGATCAAGAATATATATACTTTATATGG